ATCTATCTATCTATCTATCTATCTATCTATCTATCTATCTATCTATCCATCTATCTATATCTGGATTGATGGGTGGATGGATGGATGGATGGAAGAATGAATGGATGGATGGATGGATGGACAGAAGTCTGGCATTCAAACAAAAAACTTTATCTCATGGTCTCAGGTCACTTGCCCCCGTCTTTGCTTGGGACTGCCCAGGCGGTGCTGATGTCGCTGGCTCCCGGGGCAGAAGTCGGGGTCCCGTTGGGCAGGGGCGGAGGCTTGGCACCCGCCTTCATCGTGGCGTCCAGTGGCGTTTCACCGGCGTCGTCCGCGAAGGGCGCCAGGCGACTGGTGGACAGGCCGTGCCTCAGGGTGTGAGTCAGCTTCAGCCGCCGGAAGCGGTTGGACATCCGGCTCCACCAGGACTGCGAGAGGGTTCACCCACAAGCATCACTTCCATCATCCTTATTCTGTCATTTACGAGCATGCTGCCTCATATCGCACCGTGAACACGGTTTGGCTTTTTTGTGTCACTTCCTCTTTACCTTAAGGCCTCCCTTCTCGTCGGGCGGCACGGGCACGTTGGTGAGAGACTGTCTGCTTTTGGATCGAGTAACTGAGGGCCTGCCGCGATGTTTGGACTTGTCCTTGTCCACTTGCATGCACACGGAGGCCAACAGGCGGACCAGCTCAGTATCTGTCAAAATAAAAATAAAAAAATGTAAAAAAAGGAGAGAAAAAAGGCGGACGAATCAAAGCCTCAACGTAATACAGACTTCAGTTTTGTCGCCCTCTGCTGGGGAGAACTGTGTTTGCACATAAAACTACTCAAAAAGTCCAAGTCATATTTCCTCTCAGACTGTAGGTCTACTTGTGGTTTGCAGAGTTTCTAAAAGCAGATTGGCAGGAATAGGCTATGGAACAAACTGGGATGATTAGGAGGCCTACCTGGATCATTGAGCAGCATCACCAAATCAAAGGCCGTGTATCCGTTCTTGGCTCGGAGGTTGACATCTGCTCCCTGACTCAGCAGGTATTTGACAATGTCTTTATTGCTGGAAGAGATCAGGATGGAGAGTGCTTACTACACTGACAAATATATACAACTTTAACATGTTTTTTTATTCAGCTTTCATGGGGGAAAAAAGTTTTAGAACGCTGACTCAGCGGCTCACCCGTGGTAAGTGGCCTGCATTAAAGCCGTCCAGCCGTGAACGCCGTCCTGTTTGTCTATGTCCGCGTTCTTGTCCACCATCAGCTGCACCACCTCCAACTGGCCGCTGACCGCCGCCATCATGAGGGGCGACGCCCCGTCCTGATTGGACGAGTTCACCTGAGCGGCGTCCTCCTCCAGGATCTCTTTGACCAGCTGTGAATTTCCTGAATCATTCCAAAACGCAGGGACACGTTTAGTAGGACGGCGACGCTCCCGGCGGGATTTGCGGACGGCTTGGCTCCGTCGGCTTGGTGGCGCTCACCCAGTTTGAGAGCGCTGAACACATCGGGCCTTCTCCTCTCGTCGTCTGTGGGGGAGAAAAATGGGCGAGGCCAGATTTGGAATCTTCTCTGAAATGGCTCCACATAACTAAGCACAGACGGCCTGTGTGGGGGGTTGTGTACATAAAAACCCACAGAGAAAGAGAGAGGGAGACTAATACAACTGTGAATCCATCGGAAAATGGGGCCCACTTTCAAAAGAAGACTGAAAAACCTTCATGTTTAAGACCTTTTTGGTTTATTTTGCTTGCAAATCATCCTTTCAGCACATTTCAAATAAGAACAGGAGCCTTTGTTTAATTTTGGAAATGTTCTGTGAAAATGTCACGCACACAAATCCACAAATCTGACGGCCGTCGACAAATTTGTTCCGATCGGAGCTCTAAAAGGATCACTGGGAGTCAGAAACATCTAAACTAGCACTGAGAAGAACTGGTAAACATCAAAGAGGCTAAAAGCACTCTCTGCTGGCCTTCCTCTAATGGCAGGGACACACACACACACAGAAGGAGGTAAATTGTCATTGTCGTTTCTTCTGTTACAACTAGAGAGCATTTTTACGAGTGCCTGACGTCCCAAACCCAAACACAACCTTTATATAAAGTTGAATTTGAATTTGTTGGGGGGAGTGGCTTTGATCCCAGATTATTCAGCTTCCTTCCTCTAGATGATGGATTCATTCACGAGGTTCTCCTCTTTTCTTTGCCATTCATTTCATATCCCACCAATAGTTACACAGTTAATCAGAGGAGATCATTCAAATCATTCTACTTCCCTCCACATGCTCGGGTATTTTTTTACTCTTATGTGAACCAAGATTTTTGCCAGCCCTGCTGTCAGGAGGACAGAGTTGAACTTCACTTCACGCATGTGTCTTAACTAAGACACACGCTGATAATCCCAAAGAACGCCGACACGGAGAGGAGACCCTACCTGTCTGAGGTCGGACGGTGGTGATAGAGTCCAGGTAGGCCTTTATTTCCTTCTGTTTTAATTGCATGGCGAGTTCGAAAGCTGTCTTGGACAGGACGTTTACCCGGTCTGGGTCAGCTCTGCTTTCCACCAACTGCTGAGTCACGGCCACCTTTAGAGAACAAAACACAATCTTATCAACCAGTATATTAAAATGAGAATTCACTGGAGATAGCTTGGAAATTATGCTGAAACATCACAGATTTTCAGAACCCACAATGACACGGGTGTGACAACCTATTTAAACCAAAATACATTGATAAAGAAATGGCCAATGGAACTTTTTGAAATCACAGATCTTTGACATTTTGTGGTGGTACCTGATTTTTAATCTTTTTTTATGTGATAATGTGGCTCATTTGGTCAGTTTTCTATACCCGATCGTTTCTATTTTGGGAGAAAAGTGGGTCTGGGCTCTTATGGTTTAACAACCCAGCTCACACAACCCAAAATGTGAATTCACTAGTCTTTTTAATCAGGCCAATCCTTCAAACATCAGCCCCACCTTCCCACTGAGGGTGGCTGCCATCAGCGGCCCCCAGCCGGTGGTCTTCTGGGAGAAGTTGACGTCGGAGCCCCACTCCAGCAGCAGGCGCACCGCGGCCTCGTGTCCATGCTGGGACGCCACCATCAGAGCCGTGATGTCCATGAACTCTCTGCCGCCGCCTCCTCGAGGACAGCCCTCTGCGGATCCGAAGCCGGTCGCGCTGCGATAGAGCAGCCACAGCCACCTCAGCCCCACAGACAAAGCAGCAGACCCCCCCCAAATCCATCCAGAAGCCTCTGGACCAACCAACCTGCAGCTGTTGTTGTTGTTGCCGTTGGGGACCGCCTCCGCAGCCACAGCCAGATGATCGTAGTCATCCACGAAGGCCCCGCTCTCCAGGAGGAGCTTGACCACGTGGACGTGTCCACCACGCGCCGCCATGGTCAGGACGCTGGCGCCCAGCCTGTTGCGACCATTTATCTCGGCCCCGTTCTCCAGAAGGAGGTGGGCAACGGTCAGGTGGCCAAACCTGGGCAGGCGATTTAGGGGGTTAGGGTTAAGGTTAGGGCAGGCGTTTTAGGGGGTTAGATCTCAAGACAGCTATCTACCAGAGGACAAGTTCACCCAAGTTGTTAGACCCATCAAGATGGGTTTTTTTAAAGGTTAAAGTTCTATCAGAGGGTTAAGAAGGCAGATTGGGTTCTTTATTGTTAGTGTTTTACCAAAGGTGGATTGGCATTTGGCAAATGGGCATTTGATGTGGAAGTGGCTGGCCGTTAAAGACATTCAAATGGCCTTTTTGTCACCCGGAGAGCCGGACCCTGAGAGTCTGGGGGGGATTCTCCGGGTCCGGCCCCAGCCCCCAGCCCCACCTGGCAGCCTGCATCAGCGGCGTCCAGCCGTAGTTGTTGCGGCTGTCCACCGAGGCCCCCTTCCGGAGCAAGAACCGAACCAGGTTCTCGTGGCCGCTGGCCGAGGCGAACTGCAGGGCGGTGTTCCCCTCCTCGTCCGTGCAGTCCACCGGCACCAGAGACAACATGTCCGCGGCCGGGCACTCGGAGCCGGCCTCCGACCGCAGCCTGCTCTGCCGCCCGGACTCCTTCGGGGCTCCGGGCTCCAGGATGCCCCGGGCCGTTTCATAGTCCCCCTCGTCGCAGGCGCGCAGAAGAAGCAGCGAATTCGCGGGGACACCGAAATTCATCTCTTCATTTGGCGTGTTATTTGGTCTCCATTGAGCTCCGTTTTTTTTTTTTTTTATCGACGATACGCTGCTAAACTTTTTCTCCTGTCACTTGGCCTGCGTTTGGAAGACATGACGCAAACTAAAGGGCCGTTTAGACTTTAAGATACAGTCAAATCTTCTCAGTTCCAAAGATTACAATACGGAAATAATTTTCAGTCTTAACAACTAGTTATGTCTTTCAGGTAAAACAACTTTCCAGAGCCCTGCCGCTGCCGCCCGGTTCCGTTACTTGTTGAGGAATTTGGCCACCATCAAGGTTTCGAAAACACGATGAGTAACTTCCTGTTTCAAATGTCAAAATAAATGCTCTGTTCAATTTCTTCCGTTTATGTGATTTATGTTGTGATAGAGGGGCAAACTAGAGATTGGCTTTGCCCACAATGACATTTTTTGTCCTTTCAAAATGCAATCAACCATCCTGTATTTAATATATAAAGATCGTGTTACACACATTGATAGACATATTTAGACATTTAATTTCGTTGCTCTTAAAATGATTTCCGTCTTCTATGGGTAACGTTTGCATTAAACAACATATTATTTTAAAGCTTAGATAAACAAGCCAAGACATGTTTATTATTTGGTATCAATTAAGACACCTCGGTAAAAAACATACAGCATTTCGTTTTTTTATTTTCTTGAAAGAGTGATTGAGAAGAATCAAGTCGTTATTATAATATATTATCAAGTCTATGGTTTATTAGAAATATTGTTAGGAGTGGCCTCACGTGCCCTCCTGTCGCAACGATGACAGACTGCGTGGAAATGGGTGACTCTAGAGGTCGCTGTAACTTTTTGATGTTTTATAACAAAAGAAGAAGTAGCAAAGACCCGGATGAAGGGTGCATATTCAGGAAACGGGCCTTTCTTCGCCCTTTTCCCTAGGAGCTAACCACGTTGGTGGAGTTCGTTCCTGGCTCACCGCTGTTCGCTTGAATATCTTCCGAATAAGTCGGTCAGGAATATTAACAATGGTATGTTGAATATGGTTTTATACAAACTTAACCTCAGTAAATATTATATACCTGCATTTTGACAGCCATAAAATGCAATGTGCCCTTAAAATGTAGACCTATTGACATGCTAGCACCCACAGCATATATATCTTCCCGCCATATGGTGTTTAAGAAAGTTACTTTTAATATATTTTTCTAGTTTAAGGCTTGCGTTGGACCATTAATAAAGGATTTAACGTTAATCCTCCTAAACGATAAAATTGAGTAATACGATACAGCTATATGTTGTATCCCTTTGACAAAGCTTTAGCTTAGCCAACTCATGTTTCGGTGTATTTGGTAAGACAAAAAATGAACTTATTTTTTTAAATTATTTTTAATGGGTGGTATTAAGTTTCCCGCAACATGAATGTAAGTGGTGGTTTACACGCGGTCTGCCCTTCATGTTCAACTCTCCATTCCAAGTTTGGCTGGTGTTGCGTTTAGATGCTCCGGATTTCAGACATTTCGAGCTAGAAAATTAAACTAGTAACTTAAAAACAGATTGAATGGTTAAGTTTCCCTCAAATTAAAAATTCTAAACCTATTTATTGGGCAATACATTTTTACTGTGCTGTAATTTTATAATATAGTATGTTAAATACTGTTGATTGAAAACTATTGTTGCAATAAATGAACAACCTGCTGTCTGTGTTTTTTCCAACTGTTTGCTTTGTCAAATTACAGGCTTTCAAAGATACTGGTAAGGCACCTGTTGAGACTGAGGTTGCCATTCACCGCATCCGCATCACCCTCACCAGCCGCAATGTCAAATCTCTGGAGAAGGGTAATTGTGGCAACTTTGTTTTTTCGTATGAATATAAATATAAGTCCGAGCTGTGAGGATAAGAATTTTTTCGTGATAAATCATGACGACCTTATACGCTATTCTGAGCCATGGCTTTGAAAACACCCCAGTTCCTTCAACTCTGGCTGTTTCGAGGTTGTTTTTTAAAAAGGTTTTTGTATTCCACAGTATGTGCTGACCTGATCCGTGGGGCTAAGGAGAAGAACCTGAAGGTGAAGGGACCAGTCCGCATGCCAACCAAGGTAATGAAGATCATGCATATTACATACTGAACTGTATGCGCATAGTTTTCACTTCCCTCTTGAAAGATAAGCTAATAATGGTTATCTTTAATCAGACTTCTAAAATTTGAGCATTCCTGGTTTGGGTCAGTTGTTAAAATCTGTCCAAATTAAGGTTAAGTTGATATGAGTTTACAGGGTGGGTTTCAAAGGGGTAGAATTTCTATCCACCATATTTAAGGATGCTCAGAAACCGTTGAGCTGAATTCTGTCCTTTTTCCCTTCCGACAGACTCTGCGCATCACCACCAGAAAGACTCCCTGCGGTGAAGGGTCCAAAACCTGGGATCGCTTCCAGATGAGGATCCACAAGCGCCTAATTGATCTGCACAGCCCATCTGAGATCGTCAAGCAGATCACCTCCATCAGCATCGAACCGGGTGTTGAGGTGGAAGTCACCATCGCAGACGCATAAGCACTGCAGATTTTTCAATAAAGAAAAGGAAAAAGTACACTGTTGTGGTTCTTTTGTTTGTAAACCTTTGGCCAAAATATAGGAGGCTATTAAAAGAAAGATGGTGGGCCGGTCTGGATGCAATCAACCTGTGAAGTTCCATCACTATCGAGTTTAACCACTGCATTAAATTTCCATGGAAAGCGAAAAGAAAATGGGCAATTTTTACTATCTGACCTGACCTCAACTAGCCTTTATGAAAAAAAAAACACTTGTCTCACGGCCAGCAAAGTGACAATGGTTCCCCTTTATATAGTTTTCTAAAGTGTTACATATGTTTAATGAGGGAATTTAAACGGCCTTTTATGTGCAAGTGTGGCATGATTTCATTAGTTTCTCAGGCTTCTCTTTTTTTTTTTAATGAAACAGCTTTTCCGAGTCCAATATCAGCTTTAAGTGCAGCTTAATTCACACTAATGTAGATATGTTTTAACCCTTTAAAAAAAAAAAAAATCGCAGCATGATGTTTTTGAAAGGGGGAAAAAAAAAGCTAAGGACAGGTTGACACAAGGGAAATGTTAACTATTCACCTCCACATTGGTCCAGGAGTTTCAACTATGGAATTTAACAACAAAAAAATGTAGTTTAGCCAGTGAAACTAATGTTCTGCATTGTTTTCTTTTTTCATATTCTATAGTTTTGAACATTGTCTGAAAAATGCAATGTGTAAATGTGTTTTACACAGAACGTTTATTTTTACAAAAGTTTTTTAAAAACTTAATAGCCTGCCATTTTGATTTTCTATCATGACAAATCATTTAAATAGATTGAAAATAATTTCGCTAAAAAAGCTTACATGTTATTACTTTAATATAGTAATAATAAACTCGACAGCTCCTCTTAAATAAATTATGTTCCAGTCATATTTATTTTACAAAGTGTTTGAAAGGGGGCGGGGGGACTTCTTCTTTTCCTCCTCCACCTCTTCTTCTTCTTCTTCTTGGCTAAACCTCGTGGCGGCACGTTACTGCCACTAGCTGGTGTGGTTGGGGGCGGTCCCTCTGAGCTGATTGGTTCCACCTGACGGCCTGCTGCGGCTCACACCTGTTTCTGATAAACGTGATTACGGGCTGCTCCGCGGTTTCCGGGGGCAGAGAATCAGTAGAACTCACTACAGCACACACACTTTTCTACAAACAGAAAGAGAGGCTTTTTCTATCCAAAGCAGTGCAAAAGTCCCTGCCTCTAACATATGAATATCAGAGATGAGTACATTTATTGATTCAACCAAGATGGGGACTGACTGCATGCAGCTAGTTGACATGGACATGACTTGTGATGTTTCTAACAACCCTTCAGAGCAGCAAGTAAATTTAAATGTTTCCCCCCATGCCTTTATTTCAACCACACAATACTTAGCAGAGCTTCCTCTGTTATCCCAGGTTTGTTAACTGTTTGTCTGTATTTGTTAGACTGACATGTCTGATGGGGCTGAGCAGCAGATGATGAGCGTATACCTCAGAGTTAGGCCTTTTTCTAAAGAGGAGCTCGCTGACAATGAAGATCAGGTACAGTACTGCGTGTTATGCTGTTCCTCTACTCTGTGCCATAAATTGGGTATTCTACTTTGTCTTGCAATGTAATCTGAATCATACTTTTTCATCCAAAAAAGAGAAAGATTTGTTTGTGTTTTTTTTGCTGCAAACCCCCAAACTGCAGCTCAGGTTGGGGGTTAACTGGTTCCAACTATTTTTGTCAAAATAATCTTTATTTCACTCTACAGTATTTATTAATAGATGATGGTACTTCTTCTGTTTTGGGGGTAATTATTATTATTATTCACCAGGAACAATTGTAGAGATCACAGATCTTTTTTGCAACTGTCTGTCAGACAACAGCAACTTACTATACACCGACAATTTTTACATAAAGGTAATGCTCAAAAACAAAGAAAATAGAAAATGCTAAATTACAATATGAAAAGTAATGACTAAAGATGACTAAACACCTGTACACTTCAGTTTTTGCCACTGTCGAATCAGATCCTTTTTAGGATTTACTTTTATAAATCAGAAGGATATTTCAATACTCTTGATCCCAATTCACCGAAAAGAAACAGACACTGGGGAGTGATTTTCAGGGTGGCATGCAAACATACAACTGTCATTATGAGTTAAAACATGGCCTTTATAAAAAAGTTAGACACTTAAGAGTTATAGTTGTAGTTGGAAACTGTCTGAAATGTCTGTGCACGATGGAGTCAAAACCTTTTATTCCAGCTAGCTACTCACCTTCTCATTACTTTCCCCATTAGTTTGTTTGGGGCTGTATAATGTCTACATATTCTCAAATGAGCATTTCTTTCCTCTTTAGGACTGTGTTGTGATAGAGGACAGCCACACAGTGACCCTCTACGCACCGAGAGGTTCGGCCACTATGAAGAGCAGTGAGAAAGGAGTTGGAATGTCAATCCACAAATTCTCCTTCTCGCAGGTCAGAAACATCTAAAAATCTTTAGGGTAGACTGTGCCACCTGGAGGAATAAACCCCAGAAAATAATCTGAATCTTTGACCTAGTTAAGGCACTCAGCTTAGTACAGAGGAGGCAGAGATCTGCTTTAACAAACCTGGAGTATATTCAAGAGCCCTACTTCATAGACAAGCACGTACATGCGTTTCAGCCCCATCGGTCTGTGTGCTCTCAGATTTTTGGGCCGCAGACGACACAAGCCGAGCTGTTCGAGGGCACCGTCAGAAGCCAGACGTCTGATTTCTTGGATGGAAAGAATGCTCTGATCTTCAGCTACGGGGTAACAAATGCTGGCAAAACCTTCACAATCCAAGGTACGAGCTGATGGCAGAGACATTTATTTCTAAGCTTCAGTCTCAAAAGCGGTCCTAAAACCAGGTTGTAAAATCCTATCAGGAACCTCGAAAGAGCCTGGAATCCTCCCTCGAGTCCTGGAAGCCACCTTTGACTACATAGGAGGTTATCAGTATGAAGAAATGGATTTAAAGCCCTACCTCCGGAACGGCGCACAGTGTCTGGATCCTGACCAAGTCAGACACGAGAGATCGGTCAAAGCGGCCATTTTTTCTTCAGTCAGAGAAGTGATTCGGCTTTTTCTTTCCTTTTCTCACTTAGTAAAACCAAAACAATCGCAGGTTGTTCCGAAGATGTCATAACACCAATGTGTTTTCATTCCCATCCAGGAATGTGATCGCCCAAGAACAAATAGCAGCTCGGAGTATTTGGCCTCCCCTGATCCTTGTCTCGCTTCCCTGGCTGTACCCAGCAACCAGACGGGTAACTAAACCTACCACACACCACAAACACATCCATCACATCCGATCTTTGGACGTCTCAATTTCGATTGTCTGTCAGGCAGTATAATAAACTGATGAGCTGCTTTAATGGGAGTGTGCTTAGAAGTAAAATGAACCACCTCTATGGTCAGAGGGCTTCAGGCAGTTAAGAAGAAAGGAGGTACACTTGTGTCTTGTGAAATTGCTTGTTAATCCCAAATCATAAAAAATGACAATGGGCGAGGGATTTGTTTGTATGTGTGGTTTTCATGTAAAACTGCCCCAGGAATGTTTGAAGTGAAGTTAATTGACATTGCACCCGTATTCCCCCTGAAACCAGTTTGATGTGTTTTCTGCTTCTTTCTCTTGCTCCCTCTTCAGCGCTGTCCAGTAAATCGGCAGAGGGAAGCACCAATCAGTTTGCCTTATGGGTGGCTTTCTTTGAAATCTACAATGAGTGCGTGTATGACCTCCTCCAGCCACCCCTGTCCAAGAAGCGGGCTTCTCTTCGCGTTTGTGATGATGGCGCCGGAAACGCTTACGTTAGAGGTGTGAAGTCCACAGCATCTGGTCCTCTTAGCGACAAAACCCCCCCCCCCAAAACTTTGTCTCTTTTGCTAATTTTTTTTCAGACCTCAGATGGATCAACATCCATAATCTGAGCGAAGCCTGCAAACTGCTCCGATTTGGAAATAAGAACAGAAGTGCCGCAGCTACTAAGATGAACCAATCATCCAGCAGAAGGTACACTTTTTATATATATATATATATATATATATATATTGTTCTTGTTCTTTAAAACTCAAAAAAAAAAAAAGAATCAGCCGTTTTCTCTTTTTTTTTTTTTCCACAGTCACAGCATATTTACCATGAAGTTACTGAAGATTGACGTTGATACAGTTGAAAGGATCTCTGAGTAAGTACCTGCTAGCATGAATAAGCCTGTTTGTAGTATTTCTACTGTCATGAAATCAGCATTTCTTTTTTCGTTGGAAAATGGCTTTATCAGTTTATCTTTTTAACTTGAATAGAAAGTGATTGTAGAAAACCTACTGATCACTGTAAGTGGACAAAATCTGGCTGCATTTCAAAGACGGTGGAGAAAACAGACATGAGTATCACATGTATGATTTGTTTTTTCGGGCAGGTTTTCTCTCTGTGATCTGGCCGGCTCTGAAAGATGCCACAGAACAAAGACTTTTGGAGAGAGACTGAAGGAGGCCGGGAATATAAACAATTCCCTTCTTATTCTGGGGAAGTGTATTAACGCCCTTCGTTCCAGTCAGACTGACAGGTGCCTGCATTTTAATTCTTGAATATTTTGAAATGAATTCCATTTATGCTCCTGTGTGAGTAAATTGGACAGATGACTAATAATCATTTGTGTGCTTATACCCATCAGAACGAAGAGCAGCTACGTCCCTTTCAGAGAAAGCAAGCTCACAAAGCTCTTCCAGGCTTTCTTCTGCGGCAAAGGAAGGGCCTCCATGATTGTGAACATCAACCAGTGTTCCTCCACCTACGACGAGACGCTCCACGTCATGAAATTCTCGGCGGTGGCCAAACAGGTTGGCTGCAGCAGCACTCAGCGGGATGAGTTAATCAGAGAATCTGAGTGAGCTGCAGCGCTAATCTCTGCTGTGCTTTGCTGGAGGTGGTGCAGGTGATCCCAGACAAGCCAGCGGAATCTCCGGCCCCCTGTCTGGTTGGTCGAGATGGAAAGCCCCTGGTCAGGAATGGCGTGATCGACAGCCGGGTCCTAGAGAGCTACCTGCCCGAGGAGGAGTTGCTCGATGAAGAAAACGATGCCGACGTGACCGTGCTGCCGCAGAATGTACAGAAACCGTTCTGTCGCTTCCACGTGCAGAACTAAA